TCTCCAAGTATGTGAAAACTCTCGCAAATATCTCTTTGTATGAGAAATCTCTCCAAGAATGTCAAATCTCTACCAAATCTCTCCAAGTGTGAGAAATCTCTCTCAAATAGTTCCCGTAACTTTTTAGAATCATTCGGGTCATTCCGGCCCTTAACCGGGTCAAAAACGGCTTAAAACGGGGCGAAAACGAGAAAAATGGACATTAGGAACCGAAACCTCTCGAGAAGAGAGAAGCCTCTTAGGACCCGAAGGTCCTCTTAGGGACCGAGAGCAAGGAGGAGCCGAACCCTCCTGAGCCGAAGGTCCTCTCATGGCCGAACCTCGCCCAGGAGGAACCGAACCCGAGAGCAAGGAACCGAAACCGAACCGAAGGTACTGTTCACCAACCAAACCGAAGGTACTGTTCACTACTGTTCACTACAGTCCGTTCGGTTCTGACTTCTCGCCTTTCATCGCCAGACCGAACCCTCGCCTTCGCCTCTCACTTCCGGTTTGTGCCTTCTCGTTTCTCACCTCCTCGCCCCTTCATTTCCCTCTGTTCGTTTCCGACTCCAACCACAGCGTGGACCGAGCCTCGGCCTAGGGACCGAACCTCGGCCTAGGACCGAGAGGTCTCGCTGGGAACTCATTTTCTTCCCGGTTTTCGCATAGTTTTGCATTTAAGGCCCGTTTTTAATTATTTTAACGCGGGATTTTCAGCCAAAATCATATTTTAACATAATAAACCCTAAATATTCACAATTTAATCATATTTTCATAAAAATCTTTATTTAAATAATAAAAGCAAGTGGGTAAAGTACAAAGAGGTGGAGTGTTGACTTTGCTTTACTTTATGACACAAGCAACCACTCCCACACCCACTCTATGATCAGCCACACCTCCCCACCTTACCTAGGTCACATCAATATCCTTTCCACTCAATTATCACTCTTTCCCACGTTTTTGAGAGCTGAATATTCGTCCTCTCTCCTCACTTCTCTCATTTGCTCTCATTTCACAAGAAGATCAAACTCTTTCCTCTCTCACTTTCTCTCTCTAGAAACTCGAGATTCAAGGGCTGATCTTGAGTTTTTCCTCCACATTTGGTAAGCATAATCCATTCTCTTTATGATTATCTCACTTATTTCCACTCAAATCATGGATATCTTACACAAACTCCATTATATTTATGTTAGAGCTTCGAATCTTCAAGTGATTCTTCAAGTGTTCTTGGGTTGAACACTTCTCTTCTTCAACACTTATCTACTGAAATCACTCAAGGTGAGTTCATACCCCTATATTTTCATGTTTTCTCAAGTTTTCAGGGGGGAATACAAGTTAAAACACTAAGAACATAACTAAATTTTTCTAACAGCCTTCATCAGAAAAGTTCAACTCCATTCACGGACTGTTTTGGGCATCTTAAACATTTTTGTTTTCAAAACTGTACAAGGTGCAAATAGTTCAAGTTTTTAGCTTTAAAATGGCTACTTGAACATCTCCATATGATTTTTCTACAATTTATGGTGATTTTTACAAAACTGTCTATCATTTCAAATAACAATCCGGACCAGTCTGTGATTTTGGACTTATTCACCCAGGTTGGAGGTCATTAGAAATCGTGATAAAAATTATGAATAAACTAGACACATTTTTTGAACTCTCAGAATTTACGGATCTATTTTTCGACTTCGTATGATTTTTCTATGATTTTTCCAAAAACAGGGCAGAATGGCTAAAGTTAGCCAACAGCATGTAAATATCATAACACTTTGTATTATGTTGAGCAAAGTGTATAATCATAAGTTCTAATGTTTGAATGTGTTTCCTTGTTAGTTTATCATTATGAACTGAAACTAAGTTATTCATATTAAATATTATTCATTCATTTTAGAACACGTATTATTTAACTATAAAAAGTATAGTTTGATAAATTCATAACACTAATACATTCCCCATAAAAGAGTTCATACATATTACATACATTTTAGATAAACTATAATAGGTATAGTTTATGATACATCACTCAATGCACTCGTACAAGAAGGGTACATTCATACAAGAAATATTTATATTCACACACATTTCACGTAAACTTGTTAACCTATATTGTGAGACTCTCTCTCTCTCTCCCCGTACGTCCGAGTGCGGAAATATAATTCCTGGTAGTTATAATCAGAATCTCCTTGAGGGAGAACGTGATACTTGTATATAGATCTATATTGGGTTTGACACCCCACACCTTGCTGCTAGCTACAGTTGGACCTGCAGGTCTACGGGTGACAAATGTCATTTTATTTTTCGCGACACTGAGAACGTCGTGACAGGTTCACATAGTCATAGTATGATTATAGCGACTCACATAGGGATATAACAATCCATAAGTTTACGGGATTTTATTTTTAAAACCTAAACGAGTTTTATGTCGATTTAAAATCACCTTTTTATCTCTATGAGTACATATATTAATGTACACTTTTGGTTTTGGTAGTTACGACTACACATCATTTGAAACCACATTTATACTTTTAAGTATGGTCAATACTTGTTAATTCTCGGTCCTCTAATTTAGGACTACATATATATAAAGTATTAACGAACATGAGAACATACAGAAATTTCATTTAATTCAAATGCGTCCATGTCCATTTAAGTGCATAACAATTTCTATTAATAAGAAAGGTTACTTATACATTTTGGTCTTCAGTCATAAGACTACATTACGCAAATTTAAAGAAAATATCGGATTTTCTGGATACATATTCTAACGCTTTTACAAGGAAAACGATTTACTTTTCCAACGAAATCTCTTATGAACTCACCAACCTTTGTGTTGACACTTTTCAAAACTACTTGTATTCTCAGGAATTCAGTGAAAACAGGAAATCAACAACGTTTTGAGGATGGGACGATAAATCGTCAAACAGTTCATTTTGTATTATAATGTAATTGATGTGAATCATGTAAACATGTGCTTTGATGTAACGTTTTCAATTATATTTGTGTTGGTTGTATTTACTTTGAGCACTATTATACTCATTGTTGTGATACTCTACATGAAGTCCTCCACCCCCGGACGTTTCCGCCATCCTTGGTTTGGGGGTGTGACATCTTATACCCAATCTTTTTCACCAAAATTTCTTTCATGATCACACACTCCACTGCATATCATCGATATCTCTGGTTGAAACCAACCAGAACGTAGATATGACACCACTTTGTGTTTATGATCCTGAGTCATTCTTTGTTGATGATGGTGAAACCCAAAAACCCCAACTATCATGGAATTCACAGTGAACATTTTTTATCAATATTTTAATGAAAGACGTGTTTCAATACCTTTTCGATATTCAAAATTACATTTCATTTGAATTGTGTCATCTTGATAAAATGGTTTATCACCAAGACATTTTTACCCAGCAAGATCCAGAACTTATTATTTTTGTGAATGTAATTTTCGTCTGGATATCTTTCAGACCTCTTGCCATTACAAATCATATCCAACTGTACTTGTTCTTGACTACACTGACCATCTAAGTAATTTTATTCAATTGAATCACACTTATGTTAAGTTGTGGTGTTGAACAAAATTTAACCTACCTTTCGAAACCATTGAAAAAGAAGCCCTTCGATGCTTATCCATGAGTATTCGATTATAATTCACAAGAAACCACACACGCAATTCATCATATCTCTTCATGATAAATGAAGAGATCTTTTCCCAGGATCATTCTACTTTCGTATAGAAAATATTTTGATACCACAATATCGACATTCTTTTAATTTGATTGTATCTCATTCTTTGGCACACAAATGCACCGAAATCCTTGAGGTTTTGGCTACTACCATCTTCACACTTACATTTTGAAAAGACTGACATATGATTTCACTTTCAAATCTAAAAAGTGAATGAGCCTTTCCTCCATGTTGAAGGAATGATGTTATCTTGGTGTCGAATCAACTACAAGTACTTGGTTCTAGTTCGAAAAATGTAACGGTTCTTATCTGATTGGGAACAATGAAAGATCCAATGGATATGACATTTTAGGACTTTCACGGGATTCAAGGAAAATGTGATGATTACTATTGTGATGTGGAGTTTTTTCGGTGCTGATTAAGTAACCAATAGAATACGTTGCAATGTATTAATGGACACCAGTTCAAATATAAAAGTACCATCAATTATAAAAGGAAATTTCTGATTTCATTCTCTGACTTTATGCTCTCAGATCAAATTTTCCTAAAATCGTAAACTGTTCATCGTCTTTAAACAACTTTGCACTCTACAATGGTTGCTCCTCAACTAGCTGTTGATCCAACTACAACTAACGAAGATAAAGTTTTAAAACACTTGATGAAGATTCAGAATACTAATATTTATTTGGTTCCAATGATTGATCGGTAGCTAGAGTAATTATGGATGCTTATTCAAGCCCTAAATAACTCTGTTCTAAATACTGCATTGTTTTCTTCATTCACGGTTCCTATGACGTGGGGTCTCTCTCTTGCTGGTTCCACTGCAATATTCAACAATCCAATGAATTTCGTCACATTTCAATTGACGAATTCAAAGAAGTGAAAGCTTACGAGGAAGCATTTTGCCCAAATCATCAAGTTTCTTGTCTCAAATACTTTCTATGAAGGTTCTACTGATCAAGTATCTCATGTGTAAAATGAAATGGGGCATCAACCAGTTCTTATTGGGATAAGTCATTTTAATAAGTCGAGTCTTCCCTGTACATTGATTTTTCTCTTTGGAATCATGATAAGATGCTTAACAGAGCGAAGCTTAGGGTTAGACAAAGCCAAACTGGAAATTTATTCAATTATCGCAAGGTTGTATTATGGTATGGATGTGGATTAGCCACACATCTGTGGGAGGAATTTTGAACAACAATTGCTTACACCAATCTTGCTAATGGTGTTTTGTGTGCTTGTTTTTGGAGTCTGATTTTGACGAAGGTTTATAGACAAGGGGGATTTTAGTTCCTTCTAATGTTGAAACTATTAAGTTTTAGACTATGGCTGCTTCAAGGATTGTTGTTGATGATCCAACCATATTTCCTATTGTTGCTCGTATTCCATATGTGATGCTTAAGCTGGTTGATCCTCAAAATCTTCTTCTTGTGCAATATTTGGCTTCTATTGACTCAACAATATCTATTGGTGTTCTTCCATCGAAAAGGGCTGAAGGTTCTTCTAAATCTTCTAAAGCTCCAAAGAAGAAGAAAGTTGAGAAACCACCAATAGTGGATGAGGGTGTTACGAAAGAAATTGTTCCTTCGAAATTTGGAATTCTCACGCGTACAAAGAAACCATCACTGAAACCTAATGATTCCCCAATCAAGCAATCTATGCAAGACCTTGAAATCGAAGCTACTGAGAAAACGCATGTTGATTCTTCACATACTCAATCTTCTTAGAAGCGTATTAAAATGATTCTAAATCCTCAGTTCAACAAGAAAGGAGTCGTGTTCAGAGAAGTATCTGTTTCTGTTTCACCTGCATCCAAGAAGCGTCAAGCCTGTGATTTACCTCAGAAGTTGCAATAGAAGAAATGAAAGCACGAGGATCCACTTGTCCAGGTCATAGTCAAAACTAATAACGCCGGTGATAGTGGAAGATTTGACGTTCGTATAGAAGATTCTGTGCTTGGATCACCTTGAAGAGATTCTCCTCTTAAGTTGAATTTCAAGGCGACAGGGGATCCTGATGTCCCTGTACACGTACCTTATATGGATACAAACATGAATATCCATTCGTGAGAAGACTACGGTCATACCACCAGGGTTTTTCCAACCAAGTCCAATACGGAGGAGGTTTGAACTCTAAACGTCCCTACAGACTTATCTGATAAGGACACAAATATCACCATGGGTGAAGGGGTGCAGAACAACGAAACCATTGTTACTTCTACTCTTGAAACTTCAACCATTCCCACTTCTACAGTTGAAACCTCCACATCTTTACCACCTATTTCATCACTCGTAAGAATTTCAGTTCCAATTTCATCCATCTCACCAACATACTCCAATATCATGCATGAACCAATTACCAATCTCTTCTCTTCTCAATCCACTGAGGCTAAGAGAGTGGTCCATGAAGAAGAACCTAATGATCATGAGAGTATCGTTTGCTGATCTTCAATTTGATGGAGGAGAATGTTCCTGATGACTTAATTATGTCAGGTAATCAATTCAAAATCCTCAACTACAAAATAAATTCTCTTCTTCAAATATAAGCAGATACTAAGGGAGGGAATTTCATTTTCGGGGTCGAGTTGGAGTATTTGTTGAAATCTCAAAAACATCGATTTCAAAACATTGTTGAAAGCATTGAGTAGAAACAAGCCGAAAAGTTAGCTGTTCATTCCAAGAATTTTGACTCCGAGATTCAAAAGCTTCAGGATGTTGCAATGGAACGCGATCACATTCTTTTTGATCAAGTAACGAAACTGAGGGAATCTGTGGATCTCAAAGTTGCTAAACTCAAATCTGAGATGTCAAAAGAGGTTTAGAAGATGGAGCAAAACTATACTTTGTTGCATAGCAAAGTCGATGTCCTTGCAGCTGCTATCACTAAGTTGGTTGATTTCAACACTGAGTATTCACACAAACTTGAAGCAAAGTTAGAAAAGGATTCTTAGGCGTTTGAAAAGCTAGAAGAACTCTTATATAGTATCAAGGAGTCCATTTCTAATGCTACTTTTTCGAACCAGTGATCATTCTCTCAAGAGTGTTTCTCATTTATTTCAACTATTGAAAATAATATGAAGTCAGAGCTTGATCAAGCCATCGAATTGGTTTTTCAATTGCAAACTGATGCTCCACATGCGGTGCAAGTATCACAAGGGGGAGAGAAAGGATTTGGAGGAGTTGGTTCCTCAAAAGATTTTGAGAAAGGGGTTGTTGAGAAAGTAAGGTCAACTCATATTCTGACTTTACTTCCCATATCGTTGACAACAACTTTTACAATAACAACTATAAGAGCACCTACACAAGGGATATCAATAAACGAAGGGGCTGGAGGTACGAGTACAAGTTTAGTTCCACCAACTCTGAATGACGATCAAGTAATAAAGGAAAAATTGTTTCTGTGGTTCTATCTAAAGAAGAAAAGAAAGGCAACAAGCTCTTGAAATCGAGAAGTAAAGGCAGATCAATAGTATCATGAGTTGAAGAAGAAATGACCCACCGGGCTTGAACAAGGGTGATCCCAACAAGAAATGGTGTTATGAAACAAATGATGATATTGTTTCGATTGGGTTGAATGATTACTTTCGCAAGGTACCTAAGAATAATTATGATATTGAAAATTCCGATTTCAATAAGCACAATTTCCCGATAAACCACATGTTTTTCACATCCTCTCAGTTAAAGATTATAGAATATTTCAATGATAAAGATGAGTTCAAAAGGCTGAAGATTCGATTCCATGCAGTCTTAGGGAAAAGCAAAGAAGAAGTATGGTCACCTGTGAAGATAGTGAAGGTGATTACCATAATACGTGACAATTTTTTGAAAAGCCTTCTACAATTTTTTGCTATGTGGTCTTAAGAGAGAACAATGATGCTTGTGAGTTCTCAATTGTAGATTTCCCATTGATGAACTTAAACGACTCGATTTCGGTCACAAGGGTTTTGAGTAAGGTGGATGTTTCGAAGCTACCTAAAACCAACAAGGATGATTTCATCATTGGTTTTGCTTATATATAAAAGTTTTCATAAACAACTACTATGATTACTTCGCAATCATGGATATTGAGCTTGCTTTAGCTGCCAAGAAGCCTTCGAAAGCCCCTCAATCTTTGTTGAAAGCAAAGATTAATATTGATAAGTATGAAGATGGTGAGATAATACATCAGCCTCTTGGGGATGTGTTTTGAGGGAATAACAGGAATGGGAGGATGACAAATTTTTTGTTTCAAGTAAGTGATTTAGAGAGGTAGACAAATTCTCTGTATACCAATCTCCTTATTCGAATTAACAACTTCCAAAAGAATGAATTCGAAGACAAGGCAGATATTGCAAAGATTATTTTGTGGTATATGGAGATTCGCAATGTACTTCTTCAAAATCTAAAGCTTTTGGAATAATTTCGACTACTCTTACTAGGGGGAAGCTTGTAAGGGTCGAAACGTTTATAGTGAGGAGTCAAAATAGGTGTAACACCTAATCCCTGGTATGCATTCAATTCAAGTATTTATTATGTTTTCCTCTGGGACTCGACAAGTTGGAGGCCCAACTCGTCGAGTAAGGTCCTGATGTGACAACCCTAAAATTTCTAGCTTACATTCTTCATTTCTCATCAAAGTTAAACTCGTTTTTTGCTATTTTCCAGCACTGTTTGGAGTCAAATAGAGTGTTTAAAGCCTAGTATAAGCAGGGTACGAGTCGTGGGATAAGTATTGTAGGTGTATCACCTTGCATTTGAGCCAATCACACCAACACAAGGTGTGTGCGGCCATACACCCATCCCAACTACACACTCGCCCTATATATAAAACACTTAGCCATTTGGAACACTTTCTACACTTCCAAAAAGCTAGGACCCGAAAATCGTCTCAAGTATCATCCAAATCTCCTTGAGGATCTTCATAAAAGGTAACATCTAACACCAAGAACACCAAGAACACCAAGAACACTAAGAACACTAGGTGTACGGCAGCACACACCGTGTATGGCCGCACACCTGGCCGCACACACAGTGTATATTTTGACCATACACTCCTTTGTAAAGCCATATACCCCATTCATACAATCATATATGGTTGTAACACTTCAATATAAGTGTTTACTAGTCCCTAAGGTGGTCCCAATTCAATAATTAGTTGCTTTAAACACTAATTATATTCATATATGTATTATTATATGTTAAATAGGATCCACATGTGTGTTCAAGCCTTCACTTGACACCTATCATCCTATACAATCTGTTCATCCAAACCACTCACTACAGGTGAGTTCATACCTCTTAATTAACCTTTTAAATGTTGTTAAATGCTTTTAGGGGGGGGGGGGGGATGAAGGTTGAATTCTTATAGTTATTATATCAATCACATGTGATTAATAACTACCAAACTAGAGGATTCTTACTGTTCAAAACTGTTTTACAAACTCTTTTACTTGTCAAATACTTTACTTAAACTCTTTTATACATATAATTTGTGTATCTGTATAGATATAGTTATATAAGTAGGAATAAAAGGACTTAGGACTACTAGCCTACCCTGCTTCCTGTTCCTTGTTTGGTTGTGGACTTAAGGTATCAAGATTAGTTATCCGAAGGTCGTTTGAATCCTAGTTATATATTATGTATGTGTATATAGATATAAAAGCTTATTTCCTTCATAACCATTCCATGCCCTTGGGTAGCAAGGGTATTCAGACATGATCATACATTGCTAGTAAACTACTATAGGAATAGTTTAGAATAATACTAATACTAGTACTAGAACAATGAAACCTAAAATGAGTCAGTTCATACATGATTCAAAGGATACAATGCCCTTGGGTAGCAAGGGTATACAAACATGTTAACACTATGATGAGAAACAAACAAAAGGCACTATGACGAGAAACAAACATACAGGCTAGATAGAGAAAGAACACACAATACAGCTAGCACATATATACATTACATATACATTAACACAGTTATGTGAGCCATTAAACAGGGCATGGCACTACCTGCCATGACTGTTTTTGTATCAGAATCTCCTTAATTAGGGAGCATATGAGTTTGAGTATAGATCTATACTGGTTGACTATACTACACCTTGCTGCTCGCTACAGTGGGACTTGCAAGTCTACGGGTGCCAAACGTCATTTTTACAGCATCTTCATTGTCGTTTTACTATTGAGTCGGTAGCAAGATACAGGCCGATCACATGTTACCTTGAAATTACAATTGCTGAAGGTAGTTAGTACAACGGTAATGTAAAAAAAACTATATTTTTGGTATTTGATAGTCGGATTTGGGAAAATACACACTTTTACATGAGACACACACACAGATACTAGATGCCTTGGTAAAAGGCTACTTTTAATAGAAAACATAGCGTTTTCTAGGAGACTTCAAACAAATACAAACTTCACAAAACTTATACATTACATCTTACAAATGCTTTTAAAAAACACAGACACTAATATACTTATGATCTCACCAACTTTAAAGCTGATATACTCGTTTTCAAAATAACTTGTATTCTCAGGTCACAAGTAGACAGGTACCTGTGCTAGGTTTTTGAGAAGATGGAGCTTGTTTAAGACTCCTATTTTATTTTGATATACTTTTTGGTGTCTATTTAACTTGACAGAACACACTTGTATGAAATTATATTATTAATGCAATGGATGATGTTGTTGCTTGTTTACTACTTTGCAATGTTGTGATACTATACATAACGTCCTCCACCCCCAAACGATTCCGCCGTTCAGGTTTTGGGGTGTGACAGATTGGTATCAGAGCATTGTTTATAGTGAATTGAGTGTATCAACCCATAAAATATATACAAACTATAAACACAAGCAGGATTAAAATACTCTTATTAAGAGTTTATACTTTTAAATAATAAAATATTTAACTAAATATACATACCTGCATTCATACTAAAATCAGTGTCACTAGGACAGAACACAAGTATTATGTCACACCCCCAAACCGGAACAGCGGAAACGTTCGGGGGCGAATGACTTCATGTGGTAACGTAACAAAGGAATACATAGTAAAGAAAGCAATACAACCATCATATATATAATTGCAAGTTTACATTTGTCAAAAGTTACATGTTCAAAACCAATTACAATATGATGTCAAAATATGAGATTAAACTGGCGCCGCAGCATCCCTTCATCAAAAGCATAATGATACCTGTAGTTACTGAATCCCTGGGACATACAAGTAATTTTGAAAGAGTAGATCAGCATTTAAGCTGGTGAGTTTCATAAGTATTTAATGACAATGTTTGTATGAAATGAAATGTCTTGTCCTTGTTTTGTTTGTGTTTAGAAAATCCTATATTTTCTACTAGTATAAAAGTAGTCTTCCTTCAAGACCAAAGTTTATTTCCAAAAATGTATGTAAGTGTAAGAATAACCAATATGTTTGAAAACCTCGTAAATCAATGTATTTTTAATACCTCATATGAGTTTTATAACCATACTATTGACTCGGAATGCCTATACACAACGTTCTTCAGGCGTTGGAATGTTATGACGTTTGTCACCCCAAATGGTGGACTGTAGCTAACAGTCAAGGTGCGGGTTGTCAAGCCCGTATAGATCTATACACAAACACCATGCTCCCCCTCCAAGGGATTCTGGTATATAATACAGGACTTGAAATGTGTACTCGAACGTACGTGAAGTTAATGTCTCACAGAACCGTAGTATAAAAACAGATTTACGTGTTAAAATGTTCGTTTGCTCTTGTATATGAAAGTGATTTCTTGAAAATCATGTTTCTAGTATGTAAAAGTTAGCAATATCCTCATAAAACTATACCTATTATAGTTTTCTAAAAGTGTGCCTCGTTTGTTTTAGAATATCTAGAAAAGGAATCACTTGTTATGAAAGCATAGATTTTTGTAGAGCCTAAGATAGACACATATACATTAAATCTAGGAAAAATGTTTAGTTTATACATGCATTACACAATTTATAGTTTTAAAGATAGAATGCTATTGTAATATATTTTGTATACGGGAGTTCCCTATAAGTTTATAAATCACATATGATTCTACTTAATAAAAGTGTATAATAATCTTTATATATAACACCTGATAGTATTCGTGTGTTTTACTTGTATTCCCCCCCCCCCCCTTAGAAAGCATATAAAAGCGTTTAGAATATTTAAAAAGGGTTAATTAAGGGGTATGAACTCACTTGAAAGTTTGAAGATAGCGAGATGGAAAAACCGGGCAGAGTTTCGTCTCGGGAAACGGATTTTTCTCGGGATTCTCAGGAATCTCGGGAGTAAAATCGACCTTCGGGACTTGAGCAAAATGACCAGGGCTTCGGGGTAGTTCGGGCACGGAAATCGAGGCAATATCGTGAGAGAAATGAGAGAGATGGGGTGGATTTCCCGGAACCCTCGCATCTCTATTTATAGGAGGCTGAGAGGCCTCGTTACGCTGGGCGTACGCGTACGTCATGCATGACCGAGTCCTCGACTGCCTCGGAGCTCGGATGGGACGGGTCGGTGGTTCGCACAGGCGCGACGTGGATGATCCAAGGCCAAGGCCTTCGCGTATGCGGGGCGTACGGGGTTACGCGGCGCGTAACTCGGATGAGTACGCTGACTCCCCCTTCGGATAATACCGGATTTTGATTTAAATAAATATATAATTTATTTAATAAACTTCAAAAGTTCATATCTTCTTCATACGAACTCCGTTTTCGATGTTCTTTATATCCCTACGAAGGTGAGACCATACTCTACAACTTTCGTTTAGATTTCGTCGGCAAATTCCGAAATTATTTTTATTATTTATTTATAAAATGTCGTGATTAAGAAATTTCTTTAAACAATTCATAACTTCTTTATTTGACGTCGGTTTTTGCCAGACTTTTTACCGATGGAATACCATTGTCGAGACCTTCGATTCTCGTTTCGGTCATTCCGGCCAAAAGTCGCTCGATCTCTGAATCCAGTTTTTAGTTGTCTGTTGCTAAGCCGAATTTGGAAAAATCTTAACTTCAATATACGAAGCCGGATTTGGGCATTCTTTTTACGTACGATCCCGGTTTAATGATATAAAACATAGTAGGTAGTTAAATAGAAACTTTTTGGACATTTTATTATCAACGTTAATTTTATTAACTCAAAAGTGGTTACAATACTTGACCTATTAGGCCATTAAAAAGAGTTGAAATATCGGGTTGT